AAAATTTAACTTGCAAGTGACACTGTTGATGTTGTATAATTTCCACATTCTGTTGGGCCACCTTTCTTTGGAATGGGCACACATATGAATCTCTTCCAGTTGCCCAGGTAACTGCATTCAAAATTTCATGGAACAGACAAACAAGTGTCTGTAGTGCTGCAACAGGCTCTTGAAACATTTGAATTGGCATTCCATCAATTCCCAGAGCCCAGTGTTCTCACCAGTGCCCTCGGTACAGCTGGAATTCTTCCTTCAATATTACTCACTGGGTCTTGGTCACATACTATCTCTTGAAATGGTCGAACTTCAACCAGTTTTCTTTCATACAGTGACTGTGTACTCCTTCTGTGTTTCTGGGAGGCGTCATGCATCATTCAATATTTTGCCTACAAAATCTCCAATATTTCAGCTCAAGGCTTACGTTTTTCCCTCAGTTCTTTCAAATTTTGAGTGTTCTTCCCTTTTGGTTTTCTAACTCCACATCTTTTGCACATCCTACCATGCTTGACTTTGTTTTCTCTAAGTCCTTTGACATTTTCTGTACAGCTCTTAAACTTCATTTCTTCCACCCGCTTTAACTTCTCTACATTCAAAAGCAGGTTTCAGAGTTTCCTCTGATATCCACTTTGGTCTTTTCTTTCTTTTTAAGGACCTTTGCCTGCTTCAGGATGTTCTTGATGTCATCCCACAGCTGTTGCGAAATCTATGCTTGAGAAGTCCTCTAAAGTCAAGCGGGATATGCTCAAGGCCATGTTTTCTTGGTCTTTGGACTTGTTCTATTTTTTATTTTTTCAGTTTTAACTGGAATTTGTCTATGAGCAATTGATGGTCTATTCCACAGTTGACCCTTGGCCTGGTTTTGGCTGATGAGTTTTGAGTTTCCTCAGGATCTCTATCTACATGTCGTGAATTTGATTCCTGTGCATTCTGTCTAGTGAGGTCCACATGTATATTATTTTCATTTATGTTAATGAAAAACTGAACGTGTAGTAAACAAGTCATTGGTTTTGCAAAATTATGCCACGCTATCTCCAACATTGTTCTACTACCAACATCACATTCCCAACAACTGGTCTTCTCTCTTTGTTTCTAACTTTCTCATTTTAATGTCTCGACTGCAGATTTGATCAATTTCAGACCACAAATGGTGGTTGAATCCTTTAATCTCTGTCATTGGCTTTTGTGATTTGTGCATAAATTTGAATAATATTCATATTAACTTGTTTTTCTTATATGTATATGGATAGTACATGGATCTTAAAATACTCTTTTTTAATGATGAGTGTGATGCCATTCCTCTTTGTCACTCCAAGCATACTAAATAATATTGTCTGATTCAACATACCCAGTAGTTCATCTCAGCTCACTAATCCCAGGATGTCTATCTTTATGTGTTCCATTTCATGATGTCCAATTTTCTGAGATTTATACATCAGATGTTCCGCATTCTGATTATTCATGGATGTTCACAGCTGTTTCTTCTCATTTTGAGTCATGCCAAATCAACACCTAAAGATTCTAAAAGCTTTACTCCATCCGTGTCACTAAAGTCTATTCTACTTTGAGGAGGCAGCTTTTCCTCGGTCGTATTTTGCACACCTTCCAATCTGAGGGGCCACTTGCAGCACTATATCAGATCACCTTCTTCTGTAATCCATAAGGCTTTCAGTGGCTGTTCTCCTTCCTACTGTTTTATTCTGAAAACTCCCATGAAACCTTCCACCCTGGGTGACCCTGTTGGCATTTGAAATGCTGGTGGTATCGCTTCCAACATCACAGCAACATGCAGGCCACCATAAGTATGACAAGTTGACAGAGGAGTGGTGGCTAGTGAACACTGATACAGTCATAGCTCCTTTATCCCATATCTCCATTCATTTTCCACAGGAAATTTTCCACAGTAATTACACCAGTCACTTCCCAATGATAACTAGGTACAGGAGCATTTAGGGGAAATTCATGTTTAATAGGAAACAGATAATTAGTTGATAGTGTTACTTAACTTCCTTAGGAGTCATGACCTCACTGTGGAGAAGAGTGAAACAGCATCACCGGGCTTTCTCTCCAGCCCCTTTCCCATCATAGAACAGGCCAGAGGCCAGGCAAGGGGGGCTGGTAATCGGTGTCATTCTCAATTTTGTTATTTCTCAGGCTATCAAGAACCGTGATAGCTCAATCGTTCTTGTCCAATGTCAAGGCTGCTGTAAGGACATACTCCCCCAGTAGATGGCAGTGTTTTCTTTCTCCAGCTTTAGTAAAGTTCTCTGCCTTGGGAGCTTTGCTTCTTCCGCTTCTCGTTTTACTATTCCTTGAGTAAGCTGCAGGAGATAATAAGTTAAAGAACGGATACTCCTTTCACAAAACTACTCGTGTGTGTGTTTGTGTGTGGCGGCTTCCCAAAGCACCAGATAGGAGAAAGGAACATCTGCTTTGGCTGCAGTTTACAGTCCTATAGCTTGGACTATACAAGGAATACTGTATTCCATTTCCTGATAAAAAGTATAGGACACTGGGCTCTGTTACACAAGGTCAGCAGTTCGAAACCACCAGCCGCTCTGCAGACAAGGACAGGGCTTTCTACTCCCGTTTAACATTTACAGTCTCAGAAACTCACAGGGGCAGTTCTACCTTGTACTGTAGGGATGCTGTGAGTAAGCATTGACCGGATGGCAGTGAGTTGTGGGTTTGAAGCAAACTGATAGCGATGTCTTAGAGAAGATGACATGTCAGACCTGGCTGCCTCTGGAATAAAACATTGACTTCAGAACTCCTTTTTCAAACGATAGCAAACTATTCATGACATATTTTACGCAGATACTATTTCTTTCTGGCAAATAATGAAAAAGTCCACATACCCTATTTTAATGGTAACATCAAGCTCTGCAGTTCCACCAACCAGCCTTTGGGTACCCAGTACTCTAACAGATGGTAGAGTGCTGTTCCTACTGGACAAGAAGGAAACGCTGCAGAATCTGAGCGGGGGACGGAAGAAGGAATTGAAATCCCAGGAGCGCATGCTGGAGCGGAACAGCAGACGTGTTGATTGGTGGAATCATATTTCAGAGACCTTATCATCAAAATACTGTACTGGCGTAGTGGAGCTCGTGTGCTGCTGATTTCTCAAATGTATTCCTTGGTAAGCAAACCAGGGCTCCGAGTTTTCATTGACAACGTGGAGAGAGCCCGGGTTTAGTCTTCGCGTTCTTCTGTGCGGATTCAACTCATCTTTGGTTTTAACAGTGGTTTCCACCGTGTAGGGCATGCTGATAGTCAATCTCCAAAGCAGGACCAATCGAGGACGCGTTGCCAGCCCACCCAGTGACACTCGGCCCTTCGGCTGCCTCAGGACCTGGCAGCCCTGGCAAGTCCCAGCAAAGGCTTTCTCCAACAGCAACTCCCAAATGGTGACAGGTGGCTTCGTCCCGCCCCCATGGCCCTTAGTGC